TAGAGTTTTTGGAACTCGAATAACACGGAGTGCCTACAGTTGCTCGGGGCATTCAAAAGTGGCCCGGGAATGGAGTTCTGGGAACTCGAAGACCACGAAGTGGCCTACAGTTGGCTCCGGGCATTCAAAATCATGCCCAGGAATGGAGTTCTGGGAACTCGAAGACCACGAAGTGGCCTACAGTTGGCTCTGGGCATTCAAAATCATGCCCAGGAATGGAGTTCTGGGAACTCGAAGAACACGAAGTGGCCGACAGTTGGCTCCAGGCATTCAAAATCATTCCCAGGAATGGAGTTCTGGGAATTCGAAGACCACGAAGTGCGTTACTGTTGGCTAAAAAAAACCCGGCATCCTCCCCCGGATCGCGCCCAGACCCCCTTGGGGCGTCATGATGCTCTCTTTTACTAGAAACCTATCAGTCTTCGCTGTTAGGTAAAATTGGCAACAGCTTCACAGATGGAGGGGCGGGATGTTTTCAAAATGTAACTCTCGCCTTAGCGCGGTGCACATTCGTTCCGAATTATCCCGGCAAAGCAACCTAACAGCGATGTGTATAAGCATATCTGGAAGCATTCCCTAAGATTCAGGTGAGAATCCAGTTGTAGAATTTTGCTGTTCTCGCAGTCGCATTCGCAATGACAGTCGCAGTGGCAACGGCCTTAGGATCCCAATGGAATCCTAAGGATTCCTTGGGATTCCTGAGGCATCCTTCGGAATCCATAGGAATCCTTAGGAAACCTTAGGAATCCTTCCTGAGGAATCCTAAGGACTCCTATGGATTCCTGAGGATGCTTAACTATGCCTACGGATTCCTAAGGATGCCTACGGATTCCTAAGGATTCCTACGGAGTCCTAAGGATTCCTATGGATTCCTACGGATGCCTCAGCCTGCCTCAGTTTCAGCCTCAGCCTCAGCTTGCCTCGGCTTGCCTCAGCCTCAGCCTCAGCCTGCCTCGGCCTCAGCCTCAGCTTGCCTCAGCCTCAGCCTCAGCCTGCCTCGGCCTCAGCCTGCGTCAGCCTCAGCCTCAGCCTGCCTCAGCCTCAGCCTGCCTCAGCCTCAGCCTCAGCCTCAGCCTCAGCCTGCCTCGGTTTGCCTCAGCCTCAGCCTCAGCCTGCCTCGGCCTCAGCCTGCCTTAGCCTCAGCCTGCCTCAGCCTCCCCTCCTCCCCCCCCTTCCCCCCACATTCAGCCTCACCTTGTCTCAGCTTCGGCCTGGCTCGGCCTCAGCCTCGCCTCAGCCTCAGTCTCAGTCTCAGCCTGTCTCGGCCTGAGCCTGCCTCGGCCTCAGCCTCAGCCTGCCTCAGCCTCAGCCTGCCTCAGCCTCAGCCTCAGCCTGTCTCAGCCTCAGCCTGCCTCATCACCTCAGCCTCAGCCTCAGCCTGCCTCGGCCTCAGCCTCAGCCTCAGCCTCAGCCTGCCTCACCTCAGCCTCAGCCTTGCCTCAGCCTCAGCCTGCACAGCCTCAGCCTCAGCCTCAGCCTGGCTCAGCTTCAGCCTCAGCCTCAGCCTGCCTCTTGCCTCAGCCTCAGCCTCAGCCTGCTCGGCCTCAGCCTCTCAGCCTGCCTCAGCCTCAGCCAGCCTCAGCGTCAGCCTCAGCCTGCATCAGCCTCAGCCTCAGCCTCAGCCTGCCTCAGCCTCAGTCTCAGCCTGCCTCAGCCTCAGCCAGCCTCAGCCTCAGCCTCAGCCTGCCTCAGCCTCAGCCTCAGCCTGCCTCCTCAGCCTCAGCCTCAGCCTGCCTCGGCGTGCCTCAGCCTCAGCCTCAGCCTGCCTCGGCCTCAGCCTGCCTCAGCCTCAGCCTTTCTCAGCTCGGGCATTCAAAATATGGTACAGAGACTTGAGGAGGTGGTCAGAACGCGCCCTGGCCGGAGCGCCCCCCCGTGACCGCTTCTCGCGGCGGGGGGGCGCTCCAAAATCCAGAGAGGAGGATCGAGGAGGAGGATCGACGAGGATGATCGAAGAGGGGTCGAGAGCTCCCTTTGCCAGGGCGCCCCAGAGACTTGAGGACGTGGTCAGAACGCGCCCTGGCCGGAGCGCCCCCCCGTGACCGCTTCTCGCGGCGGGGGGGGCGCTCCAGAATCCAGAGAGGCGAGGACGGAGACGAGGCGAGGACGGAAGCGAGGCGACGACGGCGGCGACGGCGACGACAAAATATTACATATAAGCACATACAGATGCATTAAAAAATATTACATATAAGTACATGCAGTGTACATAGTAAAACGTCCTGGATCTTCGCAACTGGGCCTCCAGCATCCAGACGCCATGAAGGCGAATCTTGAGACGTTCTGGATCCCCGCAAGTGGGCCTCCAGAGGCCGGAACCGCTGAGAAAAACCTTGCGTATCCTTCCTCGAACCACTCCTCGGGCTCCTCCTCCTCCTCCTCCTCCTCCTCCTCCTCCTCCTCCTGTTCCTGTTCCTGTTCCTCCTCCTCCTCCTCCTCCTCCTCCTCCTCCTCCTCCTCCTCCTCCTCCTCTTCCTCTTCCTCCTCCTCCTCTTCCTCCTCCTCCTCCTCCTCCTCCTCCTCACTGCTCATGGGCTTTCGAATGCATCAGCCTGCCTCAGCGTCTGCCTCAGCCTCAGCCGCAGCCTCGGCCTCAGCCTGCCTCAGCTCGGGCATTCAAAATATGGCACAGGAGTGGTGTTCTGGGAACACGAAGATCACGAAGTGACCCACAGCTGGCTCTGGGCAAGCAAAATATGGTACAGGAATAACGCTTTGGGAACACGAAGAACACGAAGACCCCCCTCGGGAGTCATGATGCTGTCTTTTAACATTACTAGAAACATATGAGTCTTCGCTGTTAGGTAAAAATTGCAAGAGCTTCACGGATTGAGGGCGGGCGGTTGCAAAGTGTAGTTCTCGCTTTAGCGCCGCGCACACTCGTTTTTTGTTTTGTAAGAGTTTCACGGATTGAGGGCGGGTGGTTTTCAAAGTGTGGTTCTCGCTTTAGCGTTGCGCACACTCGTTTAAACAACGCAAGAGTTTCACGAATTCCCATCATCAATTTACCAGGAATTATGTTTTGAAAGGATTCATGATTATGCGGGCGCAAGACTCACGTTGATTCGTTGTGATGAAGTCCCAGGAATGGCTTTCTGGCACGATTCAGGATCGTCAAGACGCAACAGTCCGGTTCATCTGTGGCGTTGGGAAGACAATGTTTTGGCATGCTAGGAGGTCTTCAAACAGTTGTCTTCGGACGGGGCAGAGTTCCTTGAATGGAAATATACCGTTGTGGGGGTCTATGAAGAGGGAGCTTGGATGGAGGGTTTCTTCCAACATCGTTGACGACTCTTGGGTTTACACTGGTCCTCCTCCTCCTCCTCCTCGTCGACTCGTCGTCCTCGTCCTTTTCGTAATTGGCCCAGGCCCACGAGGAGTCGGGTCACGAAGACGAGGAGGGAGGAGGACGAGTGCGAGGACGAGGACGAGGAAGACGAGGAGGGGGGGGGGAGGGCGACGAGGGGGGGGGGGGGGCGGAGGAGGAGGAAGGAGGACAGAGGGCGAGGGCGAGGAGCAACTTGCAGCAAGAGGAGGAGGAAGGCGAGGAGCAGGAAGAGAAAGAGGGTGGAGCACGAGGAGGAGGAGGAGGAGGAGGAGGAGGAGGAAGAGGAGGAGGAGGAAGAGGAGGAGGGCGAGGCGCACGAGGAGGAGGCGAGTTGCAGCAAGAGGAGGAGGGCGAGGAGCACGAGGAGCAGGAGAAGGAAGAAGACGCAGACCTCCGACGCCCAGGTCAACCCCGAGCTGTTCGCGCAGGCCGAGTCCTACGTCGACGTGTCGCTGGCGCTGCCAGAGCGCAGCCGGCTCCTGGCGCTGCCGGGGCCGCAGCCCGAAGGGCCGCGCGGGAAGTTGTCGTCGTCGTCGTCGTCGGAGGAGGAGGAGGAGGAGGAGAAGGAGGAGGACGGGGAGGAGGAGGGCGGAGAGGACATGGCGGACATGGGGAGGGGGGATAGGAGGCGGAGGGAGAGGGGAGGAGGAGGGAGGAGGTTGTCGTCGTCGTCGTCCGCGTCCGGAGGAGGAGGAGGAGGAGAGGAGGAGGATTGAGGATGAAGGAGGAGACGAGGAGGAGGAGGAGGATGAGGAGGAGGAGGAGGAGGGGGAGGAGGGAGGAGGAGGAGGAGGATGAGGAGGAGGAGGAGGAGGAGGAGGAGAGGATGAGGAGGAGGGGAGAGGAAGGAGAGGAGATGATGGGAGAAGGGGGGAGGAGGAGGTAGAGGAGGAGGAGGATGGGGGAGGAGGAGAGGGAGGAGGAGGAGGAGGGGAGGAGGAAAGGGGAGAGGAGGAGGAGCAGGAGGAGGAGGGGAAGGTGGAGGAGGAGGAGGAGGAGGGAGGAGCAAGGAGGAGGAGGAGGAGGGAAGAGGAGGAGGGGGAGGAGGAGGAGGAGTAGGAGGAGGAGGAGGAGGAGGAAGGAGGAGGATGAGGAGGGAGGAGGAAGGGAGGGAAGAGGAGGAGGAGGGAGAGAGGAGGAGGGAGGAGGAGGAGGAAGGAGGGAAAGGAGGGGAGAGGAGGAGGAGGGGAGGATACTGAGAGGAGGGGGAGGAGGGGGAGGAGGAGGAGGAGGAGGATGAGGACGAGGAGGACGACGAGGAGGAGGAGGAGGAAGAGGACGAGGAGGAGGAGGAGGAGCAGGAGGAAGATGAGGAACAGGAGGAGGAGGAGGAAAGCGCTACCTCTCCTGTGCGGAGGGGCTGTCGGGCCCAGCGCGGCGCCCGGCAGCCTCCCGCGCCACGAGCGGGCGCCGCGGCACCCGCGACGCAGCGCGGCGGCCGCCCGGCCTAGGCGGGCGTGCGGGGGGCCACCCGGCCCCAATGCCCGCCCAGGTTGGGCCCCGCGCCGCCCAGACGGGGGGCTGCCCAAGCTTCGGGCAGCCCTGCAGCTCCCCGAGGGCTCGGGAGGTCGCCGGCCCTGGCGCCACCGCGCGGCCCGCCGCGCCGCGCGGCGCCGGCGCCCGATCGCCGCCGAGGCGGCGGCCGCGCGGCACCGGCGCTGCACCAGCGGCGATGCAGCAGCTGAAGCGAGTGGCGCTGAAGTGGGGCCCTGCGCTCAAGCACCCAGCGGCCATCAGAATGAGTGGCACGAGAACGACTGGCATCAGAACCAGTGGCATAAGCAGTACGATTGGCGTCAGTACTCCAAGGTCGACGCCAGCACCAGCGCCGACGAGCATCACGTTCACGATGCCCACGATCGCACCACTCACAACCACATCCACGATCGCAAGTGCATTGTCATCTAAGTCGCGCCAGGAACATGGTACACGAACCACGGGCACGACTAGCAGCACCAGCAGCACCAGCAGCACCATCACGACTACGACCAGCACAATTACTACGACTACGACGACGACCACCACCACCACCACCACCACTACGACTACGACCAGCAGGACAACCACCAGGATTCCTCACCCTGCTGCCTGTCATCTCGGCCGCTATGTGCGACCAGGACCACGGCCAGGCCAAGAAGGAGCAGGAGGGGGAGGAGGGCAAGGACCTGGAGGTGGCCCTGGACGAGGCGGAGGCGCCAGAGGCCCAGGATGAGGCGGCAGTGGCGGGGTTGGCCGTCACGACGGCAGAGGCAGGGCCCTGGGTGAGTTTCCTGTCGTTTTAATGGCTGCGGCCGTGGCGGAGGAGACCCAGGAACAGGCAGGGGCCGCCACCACCGCAACGGCATTTGCCTCTTCGTCCACGCACCCCCGGCGCGCCCTTCGCGACACGCCACTCCGCGCCCGCCCCGACGCCCTCCCCGGAACCTCGCGACGTCCACGCCACGCACAACGCCCCACCCGATTCACCTCTCGACACCCCCACCCCTCCCAACTTCAACACGACACCCAATAGGACGCCCTTCCCGACCCTAGACCCGACGCCCTCACCCACGCCCTCTCCGACGCCCTCCCCGACGCCCTGCCCGACGCGCATTTCGACAAGGCCGCCCCTAGCACCGACCAGGCCGCCTCCCTCTACAAGTGGGCGACCTCTGCAAGGACGTCACGGAGGCAGCGCTCGATTTCATCTTCAGCGCTGCAGGACGGTCGGCGTCGATCTGTGTTTGTCGCGACAGGTGACCAACCAGTCCCTTGGCTACGCGTGCGTCAACTACCACAGCGTGCAAGATGCAGAAAGGGCGCTCCACACCCTCAACTACTCGTACATCAAGGGGCGTTCGTGCCGAATCATGTCGACCCAGCGCGACCCGAGCATGCGCAGGAACACCACTGGCAACATCAGTGTGAAGAACTTGGACCCAGATATGGACGACAAATCCTTGCACGCCACCTTCGGCCTCTTCGGGAAATTGTTACCCTGCAAGGCGGTGGCTGGTCCCTCTGGGAAGTCCCTGGTGTACACATTGTTCATTTCTAGTTATGCGAGAGTTCTTTGATTTTGGGGGGGGGCCAAGATCCTTTCGTTTCTAATTGTTCCATCCTGGGCCTCTTCCTGGCCACTTAGGGGGCCAGGAACAATTAGAAGCGAGCACAGTTAGAAATGAGCACGATTAGAAATGAACGACATGTACGGTGTCTTGCACTACGAGTCCCACGAGGATGCCGGAGGGGCCATCGAGCGCGTGGGCGGCATGAAGATCAGCACAAGGACGGTGCAGGTCTCCGCCAGCACCGACATCGACACCACGGACGGCACTTGCGCCAGCACTGGCGCACGCTGCGACACTACCCGAAGCCTCCCGCTGCCCAATGTCCTCGCCAGTTCCCCACCCCACGACCAGCCCGACGCCCAACCCCGGCCCACATCGACCCCAGCATCGACCCCAGCATCGACGCCAGCAGCGGCGCCAGCACCGACGTCAGCCTCGGCGCCAGCCCTGACGCTAGAATCGAAATCGAAATCGAGTCAAAATCGACTCCAGCACCAGAGCCACCATTCACGCTAGCATCGACACCAGCACCGACCCCAGCATCGAAGTCAGCAACTACGCCAGCATCGACGCCAGCATCGAAGACCACACCGACCCCAGCATCAGAGCCAGCATCGACGCCACCATTGGAGAGAGCACCGACTCCAGCACTAGAGCCAACACCGACACCAGCATCGACCCCAGAAGCGACACGCACTGATACCAGTATCGACGACATCATTCACATGATATAGCATCCAAGACAGCACTCTCTCCACCATTGGAACCAGCATCGACGTCAGCATTCAACACCAGCACCGTCGCTGGCGAAACGGCTCCGCTGGCAGGGCCAGCGCTGCCAGGGCAGCGGATGAGCCCGCCGAGTGGTCAGGGGAGGGGCGGCGACGGGAGGGACGGGAGCGGGAGGAGGGCGAGAAAGGGAGCGGCAAGGTTGGGACCCAGACATCTGGCGTCTCGATTTGTTCGAGATCGGAGCTCCAGAGGCGGGGGTCGATGCAAGCGGGGCTCGGACAGAGCACCAGATCTTGCGGGATCTTGCAGGGCCAGGGCTACACTGACCTGGGCTTGGGTCGGGATCCTTGCAGGATCCTGCAATGCCTGGTTTGGACCGACCCGGGCCAGTAGATCCCCGACGAGGCACGGGCCCCCAGCCTTTCGACCAGTTCCACGGGACCAGTTTCTCATCCCGAGTCTCATGATGTTCCAACCTATTGTAGCCTGGACTACCAAACAGAATTTCGAGCACCAAGGAAGTACCAAGACTGGAGGGTTTGCACGTGTCGGGCCCTGGGAGGCGATACTCGTTCGAAATTGCTTCGATACTTGTCTGGGTGCTCGACATGGTTTCTGGGATGTGATCCTTAAGTACGATGGTAGCAACATAACCCGAGTCGTGCTCTGACGGTCCCGAGGTCCAGCAAGGGCCCCCAGAGGCCAAAACCTATGAACAAAAGCCCCCGTCTCGATTTTGTCGCGACGCCGGATGTCTGGGGACAGCACGAGGGGAAGTGTGGTCTCAGATCTGACGATGCCAGGAAATTGCAACATCGCGGAAAATCACACCCAGAGCCCCGGACACCATCTTTCTGCATCCCGTTTCGAGCCCGGAGGGCCCCGGGGCCCGAAATCGAGGGAAAACGCCCGTGGCGAAAACATTGCAACGCCCAGATCTGAGGGGGGAAGCGAGGTAGGCTTTGGAGCCGCCTGGTGGTCGAAGGTGGCCCCGCACTGGCGTCGGCCAGCAGGCAGGGCGGACAGGTTCGCCGTTCGGCGTTCGGGTGGGCTTTTTGCCTCTTTCTGCCTCCGGCGGCCGCTTCGGGCCTCGGGACCCTCGGAAGCAAGACCGAGGCGAAAAATTGCACCAGGTGCAGGGATAGAGGCCTCCTAGATTCGGGTGTTGCTAGGAGTACCCCTGGCCCAGGGTACCCCTAGGATTCTCGGGGTGGCCCAGACGGCCTCCAGGGCACCCCTCACGAGGCCCAGAGGGCCCCCGGGGCTCCAAAATGGAGCGAAAAGCTGGGGGCACCTTGGGCCAGGGGCACTTCTAGCAACACCCGATAGATGGTGTCCGAGTAGACGGGGTCGGAGGATCGCGCCGCATCGTCAACGCATCGCCGATGCATCGGCGATGCATCGCCGACGTCGGCGACGCATCGGCGACGTCGGCGTGGCGAAATCTGGCTCCGCATCGAGCCGCATCGCCGATGCATCGGAGATGCGGCGCGATCCTCCGACCCCATCTACCCCTCCTGACCGACTTTCTGGGGTCCCAACCAGCTCAGACCCCCAGGCCGCCTCAAGAGAGAGTTTGCCAGGGCGAGGGGCCGCAGCGTTGCCATAGGGCAGGTTCCAAAGGACCTCGCATTCGAGGATCAAAAGAGTTGACATCTCCGCCATATGACAGAACCTCAACCCTAAACCCTAAACCTTAAAACCTAAACCCCTCTTCCGCGGCGTTAAGACTGGCGGAGGGTAGCGGAAGTAAAGGATGCGCCCCCAAACGAGGCAAATGTTGTTGGGTTTAGGGGCTCCGAAGCCGACAGTGGCAATCGAGCAGGTACACCCGGCGACCTCATGATAGCGAGAAGCCACGAGGGGGCGATGAAGTAATAAGCAACACTGGTACAGGCAGCCGCAATTGACGGTCATTGTGCAAATTACTATCATACCTACCGGTATGATCTCGCACTGCATCATTTCGACCAACCGATTTTGCTTGGTTGTGTTGCGATCCGAGTGTTGGGATCGGTGTGCTGGGATGTGTCGGACGTACTGCGATGTGCGCTGTGTGCTGGGATGCGTGCTGGGATGTGCTGGAATACGTGCTGGCCGTGGCCCCCCTGGGTGTGCTGGGATGTGTACTGGCATGTGTCGGTGTGCTCTGGGGGTGCTGGGATGTGTGGGTGTGCTTTGATGTGCTGGGAGGTGTGCTGGGTGTGCTGTGATGTATAGGTGTGCTGGGAAGTGCTGCGATATGTGCTGGTCGTCGCCCCCCTGGGTGTGCTGGGATGTGTGGGTGTACTACCTCGGTGTGCTCGGTGCTGGGATGTGTCGGTGTGCTGACTCGGTGTGTTGGGCTCGGTGCGCTGAGATGTGCGGACGTCCCCAGTGTAGTCGGGTACTGTCTCGGTGTGTTGGGATGTGTGCCGTCAGTGGACCCCCTGGGAGTGCTGGGCTGTCTGCTCGGTGTGCTGAGATGTGCGGACGTGCTCGGCTGTGCGCTGGGGATGTGGGGATGAATAGGAGTGTTGTGTTGTGCTGGGATGCGTATTGGGATGTGTGCTAGGTGTGCTTGGTGTGCTTGGATGTGCGGGTGTACTGTGATGGGCTGCAATATGTGCTGGCAGTCGCTCCCCTGGGTGTGCTGGGATGTGTGCTGGGATGTGTCTGTGTACTGCCTCGGTATGCTGGGATGTGTGCTGGCCGTGGCACCCCTGGAATTGTTCGGGTGTGTGTTCGGTGTGCTCAGATGTGCGGACGTACTCGGCTGTGCGCTGGGGGTGCTGGGATGTGTGGTTGTGCTGGGACATGTGCTGGGATGTGTGTTGAGTGTGCTGGGATGTGTGGGTGTGCGGTGGCCCACCTGGGTGTGCTGGGATGTGTGTTCTAGCCGTAGCCACCTTGGGAGTGTTGGGATGTGTGCTCGGTGCGCAGGGACGTGCAGACGTAATCGGTTGTGCGCTGGGTGTGTTGGGATGTGTGGGCTGAGTGTGCTGGGATGTGTGCTGAGAGTGATGGGATGTGTGGGTGTACTGTGGCCCCCGTGGGTGTGCTGGGATGTGTGCTGGGAGTGCTGGGATGTGTGGGTGTATTGGGAAGTGTGCTGGGTGTGGTGTGCTGGGGTGTGTGGGTGTACTGGGATGTGTGTTGGGTGCGGTCTGCTGGACTGTGCGCTGGGATGTGATGGCGTACTCCCAACCGTGGCTGCCCCCTCTCCCCATCCAGCCCCCCTTCCCTTTCTTTCGACCGACCGTGCTCCATCCTTTCCCCCCCCCGCTGCCCCCCTCTCCTGACTCTGGCCGACCCTGCCACGCACACACACACACACACACACACAACACACACACACACACACACGCACACGCACAACGCACACGCACACCGCACACACACACACACACACACCCACACACACACAACACACACACTACCCACACAACCCACACACCCCACACAGCCCACACACCCACACACCCACACACCCACACCCCAGCACACCCACACACCCCGACACCCACACACCCCCCACCCCACACCCACGACCCCCACTACAGCCCACAACACCACAACACCCACACACCCACACACCCACACACCCCACACACCCACACACCCACACAAACCCCACACACCCACACACCCACACACCGCCACACACCCACACACCCACACACCCACACACCCACACTACCCACACACAACACACCCCACACCCCACACCCCACACCCACACACCCCCAACACACACACACACAGCACAAACACACACACACACCACACACACACACAGCACACACACACACACACACACACAACACACACACACACACGCCCCACCCAGACCCACCCCCCACCCGCCGCCACCCACCCACCCACCCACCCCACCCACCCCCCACTCCACCCACCCACACCACCCACCCACCATGGCCCCCCGTTTCACACTCCCCGCCCTCCCTTCTCTTGATTCCGACCGACCGGCTCCCCTCTCGCCCCCGCGGACCCCCCCTCTCTATTCATTTTTTTCGCGGAAAAACGCGACCCGCGCACCCCCCTTCCCCCGAAGGACAACCGCTGGCCCCCTGCATCACCCCCCCCCCCCTCTCCTTATGCCGACAGACCTTCCGTGCCCTTTCCCCACTTGGCCCCCGCCTCACTATGTTCGACCGATCCGTGCACCCCCTCCCCGCTTCTCAGGCGCGGCTTTCCCCGCTCCCCCCCCCCTCCACCCTTTTCTCCGTTCCGAACTTCGACGGTGCCCCCTTTCTTGTCCCCCGGCGGCCTCCGCCTCCTCCCTCCTCCTCCTCCTCTCCTCCTCCTCCTCCTCCTCCTCGCTCCCCTCCTCCTCCCCGTAGACCGGACAGGCCGCGCCTCCCCCCCCGTTGTCCGCTTGTGGCCCCCCCGTTCCACCCCGCCCATGGCCCCTTCTTCCGATCGGCCATGCCCCTCCCCCCCAAATCATGGCGGATAGCTTGGCTATAAAGCGACTGCTTACTTCAACTCTTGGATTTATTTTGAGATCATAGTCTAGGGGAGCCAACGAAGTCGAAAAATATGACCCCCCTCCCCTGATTCCGACCCGTGCCCCCCCCCCCTTGGCCCACCACGGTTCCCCGCCCCCCCCCTCCGCCACCCGCCGTGCCCCCCCCCCCCCCCGCTGCCCGACCCATGCCCCCCTCCCTCCCCCCGCCCTCCTTGCCCCCTCCCTGTGTATTCCGACCGACCGTGGTGGCCCTTCCCGCTTCGCTACCCCGCTGCTGTGCTATGACCGACTACGGGGGGACCGTGGCCGCACGCCAACCCCTCCTCCCTCCTCGCCCGTTGCCCGCCCCTCATACTCCAAGCCACCGCCCCCCTACGTTTCCCCCCGACAGCCCCTCGCTCCCACTACGCCGCCGACCGTGCCGCCCCTCCCCGCTCTTCCGGCCGCGGCACTCGCCTGCCCCGACCCCCCGCCCCTCTTCGTAGTTCCCGACCGACCGTATCCTTCCTCCTTCCCCCCGGGCCGTCTCCCTTAATACTGACCGACCGCGCCCCCGCCCCCGCTGTCCGAACGGTGGCCCCCTGCTCCTTCCTCCCCCCCCCCTCCCCCCCGCCCCTGTTCCCCTTATTCCGACCGACGTTGCCCCCCCTCCCTCCCCCGTGACACCCCTACTCGACTTTCCGACTGGCCGGCCCCCCCCCCTTTTCCGTATCGAGACCGCGGTCCCCGCCCACCCCGCCCCCCCGACCATTGCCCCCCCCCCGCTGCCCGAACCGTGGCCCCCCGCTCCCCACCCCGCCCCTTTGCATCTTATTCCGACCGCCCGGCGCCCCCCCTCTCTCCTTCCGTCGCCCCCCCCTTTGTGCCGGCCGGCCGTGCCTTCGGCCACCCCCGTTGCCCGACCGTGCCCCTCGCCCGCCCCCCCCCCTTGCGCTCATCGGCCGCCGCCGTGGTTCGTCGTAAAAGTCGAAAAGCGAAGTGTCAAGTTCGATTTACCCCTGTCTGACTCAGCCGGGGTATGTCCACGGTTGACGGTGTGATTTTCGTAGTGATTGAGATGTCTCCTCCCCGGTCCTCCCCTCGAACATTTCCCCGTGTACCTCTTCCTTTATGTTTGTGCCCCAATCAGTTCGAGGGTAGCCACGTGCCAGGCAACATACCCACAGGCCTCGGAACAAATTAGCGAACAGTCAGGCCACATTCATCTGTCAACGGCTCCCCCTCCCCCCAATGTTCAAAGTTGGCGGTGGGTCTGATGAGATGCACTTCGACCGCAGTCCCCCCCGCGGGTGCCAACAGCGAGGTTGGGAGGGAGGGGGAGCGTTCAGTAATTGTTTCCCTCTACCGTCTCATAATTTAGTTAACCCCGTCATTTGCGAGTTGGCCGAACGAGTCTGTGGGTGAGGATTTCTGCGAGACCATTATGTACATTTACAAATACATATGTATATTTCTATGTGTACATATGTATGTATTTTCCCCATTTTTTGTGTTCTGGCGCCCCGGTCGTCCCGCGCCTTATTTGTCACGCATTACTCATGCCACTCGTCCCATCATTCCTTATTTTTTACATATTACTCGTATCACTCGTAGAAAGAAAATAAGATTATTGAACTTCTTTTTTCCTAGCGAGTGATACGAGTAATATGTGAGAAATAAGGAGTGATGGGACGAGTGATGCGAGTAATACGTGAAAAATAAGGTGGGATGCTCGAGGCGCCTCCGGGGCGGGTCACGGGGCCGTTGGGGAGGCGCTAGACATAACAACATGCAACCATTCTGGCCGTTTTTTGCTTGGCGCCCGAACGTCGTCGTCGCTGTCAGTCGGACGCCGCCGTGGTTCGTCGTAAAAGTCGAAAAGCAAAGTGTCAAGTTCGATTTACCCCTGTCTGACTCAGCCCGGGGTATGTCCACGGTTGACGGTGTGATTTTCGTAGTGATTGAGATGACTCCTCCCCGGTCCTCCCCTCGAACATTTCCCCGTGTACCTCTTCCTTTATGTTTGTGCCCCAATCAGTTCGAGGGTAGCCACGTGCCGGGCAACATACCCACAGGCCTCGGAACAAATTAGCGAACAGTCAGGCCACATTCATCTGTCAACGGCTCCCACTCCCCCCAATGTTCAAAGTTGGCGGTGGGTCTGATGAGATGCACTTCGACCGCAGTCCCCCCCGCGGGTGCCAACAGCGAGGTTGGGGGGGAGGGGGAGCGTTCAGTAAGTGTTTCCCTCTACCGTCCGACCGACCTTGCCCCCTGCTTACTTCCGTGGCCCCAGCCGTCGTATTCCGACCGACCGCACCCGCCCCCCCGTTGCCCGATTGTGGCCCCCCGCTCCTTTCCCCTCGCCGCCCCCACTTCCCCCTCGCCGCCCCCCTCCTTTTAGTCCGACCGACCGCGCCTCTTTCCCCCTTTGTTTTTTCCTTTTACTCCGACCCTCCGCGCCCCCCCCCCCGCTCCCCGATCGCGCCCCCCCGCTCCCCCCCTTTCCGCTTCTCCTGCCACCCCCCTTCATTTCATTCCGTTTCATTCCGACCGACCGTGCCCCCCCCATTCCCCCCGTAGTTCTCCCCCGCTGTAGCGACCGATTGCGCCCCCCCCCGCTACCCGATTGTGGCCACCCGTTCCCCCCAAGCATTTGTCCCTTTATGCCGACACAAAGTGTCTCCCCCTCTCTTTCCGTGGCCCGCCCCCCTTTATTCCGACCGACCGCGCCCTCCCTCCCGCTGCCCGACCGTGCCCCCCCGCTCCCCTCCCACCGCCCTTGTCCCCTTGTTCCGACCGACCGTGCTCCGCCATTCCCCACGTGGCCCCCTTTTCATTGTTCCGACCGCCCGTGCCACCCCCCGCTCCCCCGTGCACCTTGCGGGTTGAGTGGCAGTTGGAGTCGGATTGGAGTTGGTCTGAGTGGTAACCGCATGCCGATTCGTTCAACAAAAAGCGTCTGAGCATCAAACACCACCAGCGCTCGTGCATGCGAAACGTTGGCACCGCCAGCACAACCAGGCAGCATCTGACTCTTCACCGTGTCGATCTGCCACGACTACCACCAGACAGGCTTAGGATGAGGAAAAATGGCCCCAGAGCGTCCTGAAGCGCTCTCAGCGCCTTCCGGAACGGTCTGGGAGCGGCCGCGGTTTTCGACACATCTTCCAGAGCCGATGGCTCTCAGAGATTCCCGATGCCCCAGCATCCGAATGTATCCCCGTCCTGCCTTCGCCTTACCCACTGCAGTCCTGCCCTGTGCACGTTGCCTTGCCCGCCGGTCTCCTGGCTCTCCTACCACTCGGCCCTGGGCACCCTCCGGCAGAGGCTGGTGGCGAGCTTGGCGACGCTGTCCGCGCAGCTGCAGGACGGAAACTCCCCCTCCTCATCCATCATCATCATCATCATCATCATCAGCAGCAGCAGCAGCAGCAGCAGCAGCATCAGCATCAGCATCATCCTCATCCTCATCCTCCTCATCATCATCATCATCCTCATCCATCATCATCAGCATCAGCATCAGCATCAGCATCAGCATTAGCATCATCATCATCATCATCATCATCATCATCATCATCATCATCATCATCATCATCATTCATCATCATCATCATCATCATCATCATCATCATCATCATCATCATCATCATCATCATCATCATCATCATCATCATCATCATCCCCCTCCTCCTCCTCCTCCTCCTCCTCCTCCTCCTCCTCCTCCTCCTTTTCCTCCTCCTCCTTTTCCTCCTCCTCCTTTTCCTCCTCCTCCCCCCCTTGGTGGTAAGGCTTCTTCGGGTTGGGCACAGACAGGTCCCCGCAGGTAGTCTCCGCTTGCCCAAACCCAGACAGGCCCCCCGAGCAGTCCCGGCTTGCCTTTAGCAGGCCCCCCGAGTAGCCCCAGGCGGTCTCAACACCTCGGCGTCGCCTCCGGCGGCGCCACTGGGGCGCTCCGCGCCCCAGGGTTGAGGTGCATAGACCGCTCTGAACTATCCGGGGGGGCCGTGGATGCCAGCTGGGACTGCTCGGGGAGCTTGCTGAGGCCAGCCAGGACTACCAGCAGGGCTGCCTGCGCGCAACCCGAAGCCTTCCACCACCACCACCCTCTTCGGGTGGGGGGCCCCTCCCCTCCCCTCCTCCTCCTCCTCCTCCTCCTCCTCCTCCTCCTCCTCCTCCCTCCTCCTCCTCCTCCTCCTCCTCCTCCTCCTCCCTCCTCCTCCTCCTCTCCCTCCTCCTCCTCCTCCTCCTCCTCTCCTCCTCCTCCTCCTCCTCCTCCTCCTCCTCCTCCTCCTCCTCCCTCCTCCTCCTCCTCCTCCTCCTCCTCCTCCTCCTTCTCCTCCTCCTCCTCCTCCTCCTCCTCCTCCTCCTCCTCCTCCTCCTCCTCCTCCTCCTCCTCCTCCTCCTCCTCCTCCGTCCTCCTCCTCCTCCTCCTCCCTGCTTCTCCTCCTTCGCCGCCTCGGGGGGGGCCAGCCGCGCGCGCTGCTGCGGCCACCCCCCTGACCCGCCCCAGGGGGGGGGGGGTCCTCCTTGGCCGCACGGCCCCGGGGCCCGGGCCCTGCCCGAGGCTGGCGGCAGGCTTTGCGGCGCGGTCCGCGCAGCTGTCGGGTGTTGCTAGAGGTGCCCCTGGCCCAAGGTGCCCCCAGGATTTCTAAGGAGGCCCCTAAGGCGTCCAGAGCACCCCTCACGAAGCAGAAAGGGCCCCAGAGACTCGAAAATCGAGCGAAAACCTGGGGGCACCTTGGGCCAGGGGCACCTTCAGCAACCCCCGAAGCTGGAGGGCCTCTGCGGCGGCCGTTTTTGCCCCCCCCCCCCCCCCCGCGCCCCCGCGGGGGGGCCGACCGGGCGAGGCTGCCCGCGGTGCGCAGGCCCAGAAGTCCGGGCGCTGCGCCTCAGTTCCGTCCACGGGCGCGCGGCCTCGGTCTCGGTCCTCTGTGGGGCCCGCTTCGGAGCCGAGGGGGCCCTCGAAGGTGGATCCCGGGCGAGACATGCATTGGCCCCGCGGAGGGGGTCGGGACGGCTGGGGCCTCGCTGCGAAAAAGGCAGGTCGTCGGGTGTCTGGGGCCTGCGGTGCGGGGGTCTGGCGAGGGGGCGTCCTTCTAGGCCTCCTAGATGGGGTCGGAGTAAGTTGGTGTCGGAGGATCGTGCCGCATCGCCGAGGCATCGGCGATGCGGCACGATGCGGGGCCCGATTTTCTCCACGCCGACGTCGCCGATGTATCGCCGACGTCGCCAGCGCATGGCCGATGCATTGCCGATGAATCGGCCCCCTCCAAGATCTCCGAGGCCGCCTGGAGGGGAAGAGCGGAGTCTGGAGGAGTCGCGCCGCATCGCCGATGCGTCGGCGATGCGGCGCGTTGTGGGGCCCAATGCTCTCCACGCCGACGTCGCCGAGGCGTTGCCGATGCATCGGCGATGCGGCGCGATCCCTCGGCCCCCATCTACTCGGGCCCCATCCGGGAGGCCTCTGCTAGCCACCTACGCCCAGAGGGCGGGAGGCATGGAGGTGTGACTGCGTGCAGGCGAAGGGCTGTTCTGTCCGAGGCCGTCTGGAGGGGTGGCTGCTCTTGGAGGGGGGAGGGAGCGCGCCACCCCCTTTCGCTGGGCGGGCAGCGCACGTGAGGTCACCCTTGGCAAGGGCACTGCGTGGTGACGGAGCTGTTGGCCGAAGCTGTTGGAAGAGGTCCGGTTGATTGAAGAAGCCAGCCCCCCCCCGAACCGTTGCGGTGACCACACCGTGTGGAGGGTCAGTGGGGATTCGGCGCGTTCTCCGACGATGTCTCGGGCGACTGGGGCCTCCGAGATCCCAAAACGGCGTGGTGGCGCACCATGCGGTGAGGTCTGAGGTCGTTGGGGGGTCCGGTGTCACCGCACGGTCCGTCGCCGCACCGCTTCGGGACGCCCAAGAAGAGGCTGGGGCAGCGCGAGGCCGAGGCCTCTTGGCCTCCCTGCGGGATCCTTCCTGGACGTTGGCACCAGCATCGCCCCAGCCCAGCTGGAGGCGAGAGAGGGTCGGGCCCGCCCGGCCATGCAGCAGGAGGGATGCGAGGCGGCAGAGTCAGGGAATGCGCCGGCAGGCGGCTTCTTGCAGAGGAAGGGAAGGCGTCAGGGGCAACGTTGGGGGGGAATGCATCGGGTATGGCCAGGACCCCAGGCAAGGGGACCTGGTTCGTAGTAGGGCCCCGGAGCCCCTGAATTGGCCAGAACCACTGAACCAGGTCTGCCGTGGCTGGCGCTTTTTCGGGTGACGGCAGTTCCGGTTAGTGGAACGGGGCGGGGGGGGGGCCGTCCCCCAGTACACGTCATTAAGCCAGGTCCTTCTAAACCCAGTTCTGCCAACGCCCGACTACAGACAACGCGCATGGCAAGGATGGGTAACCTTCCCAAGGGTACCCTGGCATCCTGGCCTCCTCGGTCCATCCTTGGCCACTTTCGCTGGCCGCGACCCGCTCGAAAAGTTTCGAAATGGGAGTCCAAGGCTCTTGCATCCTTATCGCGCATCCTTACTATACGGGTTGACTGTAGACTCTGGGGGGATCATCGACTCCCAATCGCCCATGAATCGCCGAGAGGGGGCCGACTGTAGACTCAGGGGGGATCATCGACTCCCCATCGCCCATGAATCGCCGAGAGGGGCCCGATGGCCCACCCCGCCCAAGAGCGTGCGGATTCGCCCTCAAAAGCACACCGCCGCTGTGCCGGCGATGGGTCGCTGATGCCAGTCCGGCGCTTCCCCACGCGGAGCCAGCCTCCCCCCTGACCCGTTGCCCCCGCACAGTGTTAAGTCGAGCGTGCCTCTCTACAGGAGGAATATTTGGCAATGGTACCAAAATTGTCCGGGGACGATTTTTCTTTCTGTCTTTTGACTATTATTGTTTTTTATTGCTGATTTGTTCATTTCCAAAAACCGCCTGTAGGAGGACATGCCCGACCTGAGCATAGTGCGCGTGAACAGAAATCGAGAGGGAAGCCGGGTCCCAAGCGCATCCCATCACATCATCAGTTGTGCCTCGTTCGCGTCTTTGAGCAGTCACCTCCATAGTCCCGACTCGCTTTCGGTCGATCAACTGACAGCGCCAGAGAACCGCTTGCCACGAGATGATCGGTCAGATGGGCCTTCCCCTGGTAGCACGAGCGGAAGATGCACCGCACACGATTGTGGTGAGACCAGGTGTCTGGAGCAGGGCTGGTGGGCGTCGCTTTCGAGCTCTCCACAAAAAATCATGACGAAATGCGTGCACGAAAAGGTTCACACCTCAATAGGCTGAAAGAAGAAGGGGATGAATGATCGTATCGATTCTGCTGGGACGGCCGGGGAGCTTCGCCAGTATTGCGCCTTGTGTGGTTGTGGCCCTTTGAGGGCCAAAGACGGTTTCAGTGCTGAACGCTGGTCTGGTACAGTCCTCGGCGTGGTCGACGATGCGTACGTGGGCCCGTGAAGCGAAGGACTGCGCAAGCTTAATGTTCCCAGGGAGGCAGAGAGGACGGGATATGGCAGCGGGCGCGAGAGCTGGCCGTCAGGACCTCTTCCAGTTCGTGTACGGGCGCGAGCATCCCAGCGACGGCCGGGAGAAGAAGGACTGGTGTAGCGACGCTATTGCCACGCTAGATGCCATGTGGCCGAGGAGGATCGAAGGAACCTGTGCCAGGCCGACACGCGTCCGAAGTTGTCGAGGCAGACTGTCGCTTACCCTGGCCAGGGTCCGTCTGATTATTCCCGTGCCCCTTGGTTCTGCGCGCGACAGGGACCGCAACGGACGCTGAGAGCCCCAGAGCGGTCGACCCTCTCGTGCCAGTCCCCCCCCCGCAGCACAGCGGCTGACCAGCCAAATCGGGTACTCATTCAGACTGTGTGGGCCTCGGGGGGTCAGACTCATCATTTGCCTCCAGAACGCCCCCGCCCACGTCCCCGCTCCCCTTCACTATCGCCTGGGTGGGGGTTCTCAACAAGATCCTCCTCCTCTTTCTCCTCCTCCTCCTCCTCCTCCTCCTCCTCCTCATCCTCCTCCTCCTCCTCCTCCTCTTCCTCCTCCTCCTCCTCCTCCTCCTCCTCCTCCTTCTCTTAGGCAAGCTGCGACACACCCGTAGCGTAAGCCTCCTCCTCCTCCTCCTCCTCCTCCTCCTCCTCCTCCTCCTCCTCCTCCTCCTCCTCTTCCTCAGTGGGCGTGCGACTTCGCCACGGTAGTCTCGTGTCGACACGACACGGCGGCAGTGGCCCCAGAATCGGCCAAAAAGGGAGCGATGCGACGATCGAAAAGAGCCTCCGATCCTTCAACAGGGTTCGTTTCGATTCCTCCGGTTCGGTTCGATTCTATTTCGATGGCTTCCGATGCCGATTCGATTCGACTTGGGGTTCCGATTTGGGCTCCGGTTCGTCAGTGGAGCCTATTAGGCTGCCGATTTCCGCCGATTCGACTTTTCCCGACTCGGCTGCCGATTTCCTCCGACCCGATTCACTTCGATTGCCGATCCGACTTGTCGATTTGACTCGGGGCCCTCCTGGATCTGACAATCGAAAGAGCCTCCGATCGTTCAAGGTTGATAGGGCCGGGCGAAAGGGGGAGATAGCAAAGGGGGAGGTTGAGAATCAGCTCACGTAGCTGATTTTCCTGGCGCCTCCGAGCGCCGGGAGGCGCCCACATATCGAGGAATGGGCCTGGCGGCGGGGCCGAAACCAGCTGCATGCAGCAGATTTCGCAACCCCCCCTTTCCCCATCCCCCCCTTTCGTTCGGCCCGAGTTGAACGATCCGCGCGGTTCTCCCAGACAGCCGGCGATATGCTTGCTTCCATTCAGGAGGGAATTATCCCAGTGCGACCCTACCTAGGAGTTGGAGCCCCTAGGAAAGCAGCATTAGCAGTAACAGTAAATCTAAACTAAAGCTAAGCGCTAAGCTAAAGCTAAGCTAAAGCTAAGATAAAGTTAAGATAAAGCTAAGTTAAAGCTAAGCTAAAGCTAAGATAAAGCTAAGCTAAAGCTAAGCTGAAGCTAAGGCTAAAGCTAAGGTAAAGCTAAGATAAAGCTAAGGTAAAGCTAAGGTGAAGCTAAGCTAAAGCTAAGCTAAAGCTAAGCTAAAGCTAAGCTAAAGCTAAGCTAAAGCTAAGCTAAGCTAAGCTACAGCTAAGCTAAAGCTAAGCTAAAGCTAAGTAAGCTAAAGCCAAGCTACAGCTAAGCTAAAGCTAAGCTGAAGCTAAACTAAATATAAGCTAAATCTAAGATAAAACTAAAGCTAAGGTAAAGCTAAGCTAAAGCTAAGCTAAAGCTAAGGTGAAGCTAAGCTAAAGCTAAGGTAAAGCTAAGGTGAAGCTAAGCTAAAGCTAAGGTGAAGCTAAGCTAAAGCTAAGGTGAAGCTAAGCTAAAGCTAAGCTAAAGCTAAGCTAAAGCTAAAGCTAAGCTAAAGCTAAAGCTAAGCTAAAGCTAAAGCTAAGCTACAGCTAAGCTAAAGCTAAGCTAAAGCCAAGCTACAGCTAAGCTAAAGCTAAGCTACAGCTAAGCTAAAGCTAAAGCTAAGGCTAAAGCTAAAGCTAAAGCTCCCAGGGGACTGGGGGGAACCGCGGGGCGGGGACTGGGGGAACCGCCCGGGGCGCTTTCCACTGCCCGGCCCTTTAAGCTAACAGAGCAAGAACCCTTCTAGGCAGAGCCTAGGTAGGGAAAAAGAGCACACAGACACAATTAATCGTCAATCCCCCAGAGGATACGGGAAAATCTGGGAAGTGGGGGGGGGAAGACAAAAACCCAGAAAACATGGGGCAATATAAGGGGATTCCTGAGATGTGTGTGTGTGTGCGTGCGTGTGTGTGTGTGTGCGTGCGTGCGCGTGCGTGCGTGCGTGCGTGCGTGCGTGCGTGCGTGTGTGTGTGTGTGTGCGTGTGTGCGTGTGTGCGTGTGCGTGTGTGTGTGTGTTGTGTGTGTTGTGTGTGTTGTGTGTGTGTTGTGTGTGTTGTGTGTGTTGTGTGTTGTGTGTTGTGTGTGTTGTGTGTGTTGTGTGTGTTGTGTGTGTTGTGTGTGTTGTGTGTGTTGTGTGTGTTGTGTGTGTTGTGTGTTGTGTGTTGTGTGTGTTGTGTGTGTTGTGTGTGTTGTGTGTGTGTTGTGTGTGTTGTGTGTGTTGTGTGTGTTGTGTGTGTTGTGTGTGTGTCCCAGGGCCCCTTCATCCATGCGCGGCCCCGGGCGTCCCGACCCCCCTTCCAGCGGGCCAGCTCCCCGCCCCGAGCCGAGGCCCCGAGGCCGAAGCCTCTCAGGAACCGCCCAGACGGAAGAGCCGCAGCGGCGGGGGCCTGGGCCAGAAGCTCCACGGCCGCGGTCGCCACGGCACGCACCGGCGCCGCGAGCGAGGGGGGGGGGGAAGCGAGACGGCGGAGAGGCCCTCTCGGAGGGCGGGAGAGGGCTTCTCAGAGAAGCCCGGGCGCCTCCTGCGAGGTGTTTCCAGCGCCTTCGGGGACAGCGAGCTCCACTTCGCAGCAGGCCGGGGGACCTCCGAGAGCCTTCTGAGAAGGCCCACCCCCTCTGCTGGCGATATTCAGATACTTCTCAGCGAGCGAAGAACGGTACAACATAAACTTTGTTTCGCCGTCGGGGACACCTGCCCCATGGGCGGCTGGAAAGTTTCTCCCCCTACGGTGCCACCGGAAAGGTATAAACTTCCAGCCGCGCTGGGGCAGGTGTCCCCGACGGCGACAAAAGTTTATGTTACACCGTTCCTCGCCCGCTAAACTTCGGGCCTTCTTGGCGGCCGCCTCGGCGAGGCGCAGCTGCCGGAGCGCCTCTCCCGAGGCCGGCAAGCCGCCGGGAGTAATTAGGCAGGCGGCGCCTCGAGCGCCTCGAGGGCCTCGAGAGCCCGAAGCTCTCCCGAGGCCTTGGCAGCGCTCGGGCGTGTGCATGTTTCCTTCGGCGAGGGCCATCGAGGAGCGTCCTTCTGCCATTCGCCCAGTAATGGCAGGTGTGTGGTGAGCCGTTGAGGCCAAAAAAATCGAGGAGCATCCTTCGGGTGTTGCTAGAAGTGCCCCTGGGCCAAGGTGCCCCCAGGATTCTCAGGGGGGCCCAGACGGCCTCCAGAGCACCCCTCACGAGGCCCAGGGGGCCCCAGGGGCTTCAAAACGGAGCGAAAAGCTGGGGGCACCTTGGGCCAGGGGCACTTCTAGCAACACCCGAATCCTTTATCATTTGGCGAAAAAAACCGCACAAAACCGAAAAAAACACAGGGAATGGACGTCCCAGCGATGGCCAGGAACGGACCTCCCCGGCCGCAGACAGAGGGCACGGCGCGCGGCAGGTCGGCCGCCCTGGGGCCCGGACAGTGGAGGCCCATGCCATGAACAGAGGCGGTGCCAGCTCGGTTTGCCTTCTCTGGCGCGGCTTTCGGCTCGAGAATCGAGCGCGGCGACGTTTCGCCGATCTGAGAGAACCCGTTGCAGGGGACCCCCTCGTCAGAAGGCGGCGGCCGCCAGGGCCGGCCGCCAGCGAGCCAGCCAGTGGTGCATGCCAGCGCCGACAGAGCCACACATCGGCGCGCACCAGTGCACAGTGGAGGCCCATGCCAAGAGGCATTCGGCCTGCCTCCAGGGTGCCCTGGGCTTCTTGAGTTTCAACGGCTCGGCTGCGCAAAACAGGGCCAGGATCGGGATAAATCGCTCCAGAGCGTTCCGGAACGCTCTGGAGCGGCCGCGGCGCCCAATACATCCTCCAAACCCGCCGATTCTCAGAGATTTCGAGTTATCCCGATCCGATTTGTCCCGATCTTCGCGTCGTTTTATCTTGGGTTTCGACGGCTCGGCTGCGGAGGGCGCGGCGCTCCCGCGCCAAAGATCAGCGGGCGTCTCGGGGTCTCGGGGTCGTGTCTCTCGTGGGAGGCCTCCCGCGGCCTGGACCCCGCTGCGGCCGCGAGGAGGGGCTGACCCTGCCGCAGCTGCGGGAGGGCCTGCGGCGCACAGGCCCCGCCCCCCGCCAGACGCGCGCCCGCCGGGAGCAGCTGCGGGGGGCAGCGCAGGGGGCCACCTCTGGGGGAGGGCGAGCCGTCCGTACAGTGGGGGCCCATGCCAAGGAACACGCTTCAGTCGGGGGAACGCAAGACCCGAGAAAGCCGGAATTCGGGTTTGCCGATTTTTTTTTGACGAGCGCGTCCTGGATTTTGACGGTTCCGTTTTCGTGGGACGTCTGCAGCGGGAGCTCGCGTCAAATTTTAGATTTGGCCTCGTCATTTTTATGATGGCCCCGTCGGGCCAACCCGAGTCCCCCGCACCCGAGTCTTACGTCTCCCCGATTCAGGAGGGAAAGAAAAAATATTTAACACAGCAAACGCAAGTAATCGTCGATTCCCAGGAAGTATGGAAAAAGATGGGAAGTGGGGGGAAGACCAAAACCCAGACAATATGGGGAATCCGCTTATTTGTGTGAACTTATTTGTGTGTCCCAGGGCCCCTTCAACGTTGCTTGCCTCCAGGGTGCCCTGGTTTTCTTGGGTTTCGATGGTTTGGCTATGGAGAGCGTGACGCTCCTATACCCTAAATAAGTGGACGCCCCGGGGTCTCAGGGTTGGGTTTCTTGTGGAAGGCTCCTTGTGGTCGGGTCTCCACTGTAGCTCTCGGCGGCGAGCCCCAGGGGGGGGGGAGTTTCGGGTTCGAGGTTCGAGGTTTTCGGTCGCCTTCGTCGGTTCTCCGCGGTTTCCCAGCCTCGGGAGGCGTTCCAGCGGCTGCGCCTCGCAGAGAGCGTTCTCGGGGTGCCGGGATCGCCCCGAACGGCCGCTGGAGACCCGAGCTACGACCCAAAAGCCGAATTCGTCGGCGAGCGAGGGGGGAAGTGAGAAGAAGCGGGCCTTCTCAAAAGGCTCGGTCGGACGTTGCCCGGCCTTCTGAGAAGTGTTCTAGGCCTTCCCTGGAGTCACGGGAAAATCTTTCGGAAGGCGCGAGGGCCTCCCAGAAGTCCCGCCGCTTCCCTTCTGACTTCCCCCCTCGGTCGCCGCCGAAACTGACCTTCGATCCCTGGCGACTTTGTGGATCGCGGGCGCTTGTACTGGCCCCCTGGCTGCCTGCCAGCTTCGCCCGTGTTCGAGTCCGAGCTCGAACGCGTCTGTCTTGCGCGTCTGCTGTGTGCAGGCACTGGCTGACGCTACAGGTGCTTGTCCGCCCAGCAGCTTGCCCAAGAGAAAAGCTGAGACAACCGCAGTCGGCCTTCGAGTGCCTGGACGACCTGAGATCTGATCTGTTCAATCCCGGCGCCTTTCCTCGACTTCGGCCTCTGGGTCCCGGTTTCGGGCCCCGGGACAACCAAGATCGGATCTGGGGCGAAAGACTTGCCCCGGGGAAGGGATCGGGACTTCTGGGGCCGCGGATCGAAGAGAGCACCTGGTCGAGCGTCTGGGTCGCGTCGGGAGGGCGAGCCGAGGCGACGGTGGTCACCCTTCGAGTGCCCCCTCGTCACCACGGCTTGACACAGCTTGAAATCCTGGCGCGCTTGGACCCCTCTAGGCCTCCTAGATGGGGTCCGAGTGGATGGGGTCGGAGGATCGCGCCGCATCGTCGATGCATCAGCGATGCGGCTCAATGCGGATCCCGATTTCCTCCACGCTGGCGTCGCCGATGCATCGCCGATGCATCGGCGATGTATCGGCGATACCGCGCGATCCTTCGCCCCCATCTACTCCGACCCCATCTAGGAGGCCTCTAACCCCGTGATGGGTATGGGGGGGAGCCGCATGTTTTGTCGCCTGGCAAGGGGGCACACCTCACAGCCGAGCATCTCTCCCGCAGCGCAGGACGGGAGGCGGCGTGTGCGTCCCCCTTCGATCTGCGGCCGGGCCCTGGCCTGGCACGCATCTCTGGAACGGAGGCACAAGCGCTGTCACGACCGGATCGTGGCTAGTTCAATGCGACCCTCTTCAGCTCAGGCGGAGATTTTCGGGCTGGAGGTCCGAGAACAGCAGCATTCGCAATACCTCGTGATGACGCCAGTCCAGCCGTCGGCGGCGCCTGGATTGACACTGCGCGTGACGGCAAGCGACTGGCCCGCGTCAGGCTGTGAGGCATGTTGACAGCCCCGCACGTTGTGGTGTTGCTTGTCCTCCTCCACTCCGTGGGGTGCTACAACTGCTTCCCACAGACAGCGCTTGCACTGAGCAGTCCTCAGGAGCCAAGAACGAATTACTTTTCGGCGCCGCGAAATGTATTGGCAAGCCGCTTCGATCTGACTAGTCCGGCTTGATTGTCGCAGATCTTCTTGGCCAGTTGGTGAGACATTGGTTCAGCTTGGGCATCCTGATTGCATGTGTCCGTTTGGTGCGACCGTTGGCTTGTTTCAACAAGAGCGTTTCTACCGAGTAGTTCTCAGGAGCGTGTGATAGAATTGCCCCTGCGCGCCAGAGGGTTACGTTGCCAATGTTGTTTGATCTGGTTGGTTTGGCTTGGGTGCCGAGTATTATTGTTGACGGGCTGGTTCCGCTTGGGTGTCGCAGATTTGTTTGGCCAGTTGGTTCGGCCTGAGCGTTGCGGGTGTGATTGCCAAGTTTGTTCGGTTTTGTTTGCAAGTTGTGATTATTCTTGCCCAGTTGATTCGGCCTTGCCCAGGTGCCACTGGTCTGATTGGCTTGGCCCGTTTGGCTTGGGTGCTTGCCGGGCCAGCTGGTTCGGTTTGGTGCCCGTTAGCTCGGTCCGGCTGGCTCGGCATGGGCGCCGTGGATATTCATAGTTGGTTGGTTCGTTCGGTCTGGTGACGCGCGCCGCTGGAGGACGTTTGTCCCTCCTTCGTGGTGGCCCCGCCCACCACCTCGTCCTACCGTGGGTGGCCGCCTGTCGAGGAAAGGTTTAACATTTGAAATAACCACAGACGTGCCGCGAGTTTCAATGCCCAGCTGGTGAGACCCAGCTCGCTCGACATCTGTACAGTGAGTTGCCTTGGCCAGTTGGTTCGGCTCAGTTTCGTTCGATCTGAGTTGCGTTGATATGTTTCTGCGGTTGTCATCCATATTTCGGCCCCTCCTCCCTGCGCCTCGCTCTCGCCTCTTCTGCTCTGCCGCTGCTCTGGCCATACACTGTGTAGAATTCACATACATAAACATATAGAGAGAGAGATACATGCATGCATACTGCCTCCCTCTTTCTCTCCCAATCTCTGCATTCGCTTCCCAACATGCCAGCGTCAGCTCTCTTCTCTCACGTCTGACGGCGGCGTGGCGCGCGCTCTGCCGCAGCGCATGCCGAGCATACATGTGTGCCTGTACATATGTATACGGACGCACGCATGTCTTCCCCAGACAGTGCTTGCACTTCAGGCCTTTGTGGGCCCCGGAAACGGCAGGGCCGTTTTTTCACCGTTTCCGAAAAAGTGTCCCTTGAAAATGGAAACGGCAAAAAAACGGCGACCGGAAACGGCCAAAAAACGGCTCCAGGATTGGAACCGGCGACGGAACCGGTGAAAAAACGGCAAAACGGAACCGGTAAAAAACGGCAAAACGGAACCGGTAAAAAAACAGCCCTGTCGTTTCCAGGGCCCACTAAGCTTCAGGCCTTCCTACTTCCCCTCCGAGGAGCTGGGCCCAGTTGTTCACCACCCACCAAACCACCCCAACCCAACCCGAAGGCTCAGATTTACCCTCGATTTCCAGTGGGGAGGGGGTCGGGAAACATCGGAAAAACACATGTGGAACCCTGACCCCCCCCAACCCGAAATTCGGGTCTTCGGGTTGGGTTGGGCTGGTCTGGTAGGTAGTCAGTTGTCGGCCCTTTCGGCCTTTGTGGCCGCCCGTCGCCGCCACCCGCCTCCGCCGCCCTGCACTCTTTGGGGCCCCGGCGTCGGCGCGGCCAGCCTGCGGCGGCCGCACCGTCGCGGCCCGTCGCGGCCAGCCAGCTCGTCGCCTGCCCGCAGCTGCGCTGTGCTGCACTGCTTTGTGTCGCATTGTTCTCAAGGGCGCCCTCGAGGGCGCGAAGTTATTCGCGCTTCGCGGTTCGGCTCCGACTCCTCCTCACCCTCCTCTTCTCCCCTGGGAGGCGGCGCGAGAGCGCGAAGTTATTCGCACTTCGCAGCGCGGCGCGATTGCTTTGCGTCGCACTGTTCCGCATTGCGCTGCGAGGGGAACAGAGAGTGGCACAAAAACATACACGTGCATACGGGCGCACGCACGTCTTCCCCAGACAGCGCTTGCACTTCGGGCCTGCCCACTTCCCTGCCGAGGCGCCGGGCCTGGTTGTCGGCCCGGCCGGCCTGGGGACGCCCGTCGCGGCCCGCCGCTGCCAGCCGCCTCGTCGCCTCCCCGCAGCTGCGCTGTGCTGCACTGTTCTTGGCATCGCTCGGACGTGTGCATTTTTTCCTTCGGCGAGGACCATCGAGGAGCATCCTTGATCATTTGGCGAATAAAACCACGCACGAAACCGAAAAAAAACACAGGGAATGGACGTCCGAGCGATGGCCAGTGTTCTGTGTCGCACTGTTCTGCAATTGCGTTACCAGGGGAACAAAAAGTGACACAAACATGAAAACTCGGAGGTCCGCGCGGATCTCTCGGATCGGCGCTGGACCCCCCCTCCCTGGCGCGCGGAGCGCGCCAGGAGCGGCGCCGGAGGCGCCGCGGGAGGGTCCCAGCGCCGATCCGAGAGATCCTCGCGGACCTCCGAGTTTTTATGTTTATGTCACTTGTTGTTCCCCTAGTTGCGTTGCTTTGCATTGGTTTGCCTTGCATTGCTTTGTTATGTGTTGCACTGCCTTGCACCGTGTTGCACCGTCTTGCGGGGCAACACATCACTCTGAACTGTGTTGGATTGCTTTGCACTGCGTTGCATAACTCTGTTTTGCTTCTCGATACTCTGCAGCGTTTCACATAAATGTGCACTGTGTTGCGTTGCATTTGCGTTGCTTTGCATTGATTTGTATCGCATTGCATGGCATCGCATGGCATTGCACTGCAATCGTTGCTTTCCATTGGATTTGCGTTACATAGCTTTGCATTGCGTTGAATTGTTTTGCATTGCTTCACATTGCTGTGCACCACATTGGTTCTCCCTTCCAAAAAAAGGATTAGGATCTACCTCCCCCCTCCCCAGACTTAACGGTACACCTTTTCATATTGAAATGTACATGCGATCTTGCCCCATCGTCTATCCGAGATATGAGTTCAAACCATCACAGCCAGGCCGGTATCGCCCCCCCACTCATCTTTTGCAGAAAGTACTATGCACACACATTCGCCTACCAAAAAACATCCGCTTTCAAGAGTACCTTGCAAAAAATGGGACGAAGTGCACACGCGCGAGTCGTCGCGCGCGAATGCCGAAATCTCTCAGAAACTTAAGGTTTCGTAAGGAATTCAAAACCGAGAGTCACGAAAACTGATAAAAACATATCGTTTCGCAACAAGGGTTTTCAAAAAACTTGCGCCCGCGCTCGCTGGCTAGCATGATACAGTGGCCTTCAGCCCACACCGCCACCGTGCCTGGGTTGTAGGTCAGAGGCTTCTTGGACGCCTGGTAGGGATCTCTTCGGAGGCCTGTCGGAAGCCTTTTGGAGGCGGTTTTGTACTGCGTTGAGCCTCTCGGGGGCCTCTTGGGGGGTTTGTGGGACTCTTGGGGGTCTCATGGGGCTTCTTCGGGGCCTCTTGGGGGCCTGCTGGCGGTCTCGGAGGTCATCTTGGAGCGCAGGGCTCGACATGTCACTTCAAGCTTCCCCTCGTGGGGCCCTCTTGGCGCCATCTTGGGTGCTTCTCAGCCATCTTGAGACTCTCTTGGGCCGTCTTGCGGGCCGCTTGGGGGCCTCTTGGACCGTCTTGGGGCTGCTTTGGGGGCCGATGGGGCCGCCTTGGAGCGCCTGAAGCTCGAAAGGGCGAAGACATTCCAGCCTTTGGAAACTCAAGGAAAGTTCTTTGCGTTTGGCCTCTTAAGCAGTCTTAAGGCCATCTTGGGCTTGTTGGAGAGCTCTCGGGCCTCCTTGGGATCCTCTTGGGGCCCTCTTGGTTCGTCTTAGGGGCCTTCTGGCCTGCAGACAACAAGCGGAGACACACGACAAGCCCCAGGAGCGCCGAGACTTCGCACCTGTGGGCCCCATAAAAAAAACAGTCTTCAATGTTCTTCACCGAAGAATCGAAGCACGGTGGCGTGATATGTACATATATACATACATACATACATACATACATACATACATACATACATACATACATACAAATATATGTGTGCGCATACTGGTACTCTGTATCTATAGATGCACCTATATGAATGTACGTATATATATATATATGTATATAGCTATATGGATATGTATATGTATATGTATGTGTATATGTATATGTATATGTATATGTATATGTATATACACACGTGCGTATGTGTACGGCGTATGTATATGCTTATTTGTTGTACGTATGTATGTATGTACGTTGTACGTATGTATGTATGTATGTATGCATGTATGTATGTATGAGTGGGAGTATGAGTATGAGTATGAGTACGAATATGAGTATGAATGTGGGTGTAGATATGTGTGTACAAATATGCATATGTGCATATACACGCATGTGTATATAGAAGATGGAAGAGGCAGAGAAACATAGAAACCAACAAGAGAGGTAGAGACAGAGACAAACGCAGAGACAGCACAGAATGTGCCTTCGAGGAAGAGGGAGCGGGAGATACCTTCACATATTTATATGTATATATAAATATGCATATGTATAGACAGACATACATGAAAGAGAGAGAGAGAGGGGGGAAGAGAGAGAGAGGGTGGAAAACATATTGTTTTGACAGAGAGAGATATGAGAAAAAAGAGAGGGAGAGCGAGATGCATATATATACACAGAAAGAGAGAGAGAGAGAGAGAGAGACACAGGGAAAGAGATAGGGAGAGATGGTCAGTGCGCAGGCTTTGCAGACGCCGAGAGCAGCGAGCGCATCTTCTACTTGCTCGACACACGCAATTCAGGCTCGGGGGGCAGGGCCAAAGCGGCGGCGGTGTTGTCAGGAAGGGGTTCCAGTTCGATGGTTCATGGAACGTATGAAAGCCCAACGCAGGGTTGCCTCGCGGGCCACTGCCAATAATTTTGGAACCCTTGGCGTCCCTCAGCGCATCGCTCTTCACGTCGACGGGCTGCCTGGACTGCCACAGGCTGGCGTTAACACACGTCTGCCAGACCACCGACCAGTGTGGAGGGGGAACCTGGCGTGGCTTGATTCGATGCCTCCCTCCTGAGGCGGAGGAGGAGGAGGAGGAGGAGCCGAAGGCGGAGGAGGAGGAGGAGGAGGAGGGGGAGGAGAAGGAGGAGGAGGAGAGGGGGAGGAGGGAGGAGGAGGAGGAGGAGGAGAGAGAAGGGGGAGGAGAAGGAGGAGGAGGGGGAGGAGGAGGGAGGAGAGGAGGAAGAGGAGGAGGAGGAGGAAGGAGGAGGAGGAGGAGGAGGAGGAGGAAGGAGGAGGAGGAGGAGGGGGAGGAGAAGGAGGAGGAGGAGTTCACGGATACTCCCTCAAGCTTGCCCACAGGGGGCACCGCCCCCTGCCGATCGCCGAGAGCGGCGGGAGCCATTGCGGCAGCACGGCGGGAGCAAGTCTGCTGGGAGCGCCCGGAGTGTTCAAGATCGGAGGTTGCACGTCAAATCCGAGGGTCTTGGCATCGCTCGGACGTGTGCATTTTTCCTTCGATCGAGGAGCATCCTTGATCATTTGGCGAAAAAACCACGCACGAAACCGAAAAAAAAACAGGGAATGGACGTCCGAGCGATTGCCAGGGGTGGGAACCTCCAGGTTCGAGTCGAGACTGTGACGTCCGTTATCAAGTCTGGCGTCCTTGTCGCAGGTGGCTCGTGGGCTCGTGGCCTCCCCATGAGCCCCACGAGCTCTCGAACGTGCTGCATCAGAGGAGAGGCCCCTGCCCCCTTCCGTATTCGCTTCCCTTGCCCTGAGTCCGCCCAGTTTCGTTTCACCCTCGGCTCCCGCGAGTCGAGAACCCCCTCCTCCAGAAGAGGGGACACTGCGGGCAGACCTCGTCTGCTGATGCCTACGGCCCAGCGCACACGCGGTGCAGCCTGATGCGGGCGCGAGACGGGCGCAGCGCCGACGGGCACTGCTCGCCTGCCGGCACGGCCGTGCTGGGCTTCCGCCGAGGGGGCCGAGGCTCCTCCCGCGAGCCCGCCGGAACGCCGCCAGCGGCGAGAGTTCGACGATTCTTTTCGGCGTCGAGTCCAGGGGGAGGAGGAGGAGGAGGAGGAGGAGGAGGAGGAGGAGGAGGAGGAGGAGGAGGAGGAGGAGGAGGAGGAAG